GGTTGGGGTGGTGGACCTCCACTGTGGTCACAGACTCCAGGCCTTTCAAGCAGAGAGGGGATGAGCGTCCAGTGGGGTCACGACCACCAACGGCTCCGAGCTCCATGGAGGACTCGTCCATGTTCACGTATAGAATCTCATCTGGATCTTGTGGGTCTGGCAGATCCTCAAGGGCTTTTTCGAGCTCACAGCGCAGTGACTCGAATGATGGACGATCTTTTGGGCTGCAGAGGTAATTTCTTCCTACATAGATCTCTACTTTATTTAAAAAGAATTTTTGCACACATAACTACAAAGCACTCTATAAAAAAAGCATTTTACGTTATGTATTGAGTATGAATTTAATCAGGTCTACCAAGAAGACTTGAAAAATAAAATGAATCACCATCCTGTAGAATGGATACTCATTGCTCAATCATTTTGGTTTTTCCTTGCACAGCTGCACACAAACGCATTCTCTGGGGGGTTTTTTTTTCACTCAAGTGCCACTCCTCTGCTGGGGCAAAGGTTATTTGAATCAGGTTCTTCCAAAACAAACACAGTGATGCAGGGCTGGGTGTAGTACCCTGATCTACTCCTCCCTCACTGCTTGTATAAAATAAGGCATCTGGGTGGTATTAGTGCTTGATCACAGGGAGTTATTCTCCTACTTTGTTCTGCTCGCCCATCTTACTGACTGCAGCCATGTTTGTTTCTCCTCCTGGCTATCAGCCAATCTATAGCCCGGTAAGTATCTGCACGCACTGATACCCACAAAAATATGTTTTTTCTATTAGGTCTTAAACAAGCTACAAGCTTGTTTTTGTTCTGTTAATAACAATAATATTTGAGCCTGTGGCACTGTGTGAATTTTATGCTGAGAAGATGTAATAAATTGTCCTTAGGTTCTCATAGTTTCATTACCATTACAGGATTTTGCAATTTATGAACTGAAAACTGCAATCACTGAACATACTTTGTTAAAGAATTAAGATAATATCACAATGGAAGGTCGGCTGTTTTTGTAAGGAGAAACCCAAAAAGTGACACCACAAAGCAGTTCAGAGGAATCAAAAATGACTTAGTATTTTCAGTTGGATCTTCATTTTAGTTATTCAGTTTTCTCCAGTGGTTCCCAAAGAATAACACATTTAAAGTGGGGGACATTAATGAAGGCACGAGATTAGGAAAGGTTACAATGCTTAGAACAGGATAAGTAAACAAAGTTCTATTTGACCATAGTACTGGTCACGGTTACTAGTAGAAGGATAGACTAACAATCTGTCAGATAATGAAGTGTAGGTCTGGATATATAGCTAAATTCAATTCAGTTGCATTTAT